ACGCTGTGTGTGTATGTGTATGTGTGTGGGTGGGTGGGTGTGGGTTTGGTTGCTCATGCACGCTGTGTGTGTATGTGTGTGTGGGTGGGTGGGTGGGTGTGGGTTTGGTTGCTCATGCCACGCTCTGTGTGTGTGTGTGTGTGTGGGTGTGGGTTTGGTTGCTCATGCACGCTGTGTGTGTGTGTGCGTGTGTGGGTGTGGGTGGGTGGGTGGGTGGGTGGGTGTGGGTTTGGTTGCTCATGCACGCTGTGTGTGTATGTATGTCTGAAGGCATTTATGAAAGCAGTCCTCTTTCCCACTTGGTAGGTAAGTGGGTTCCAGGGATCACACGAGAATATTACCTGTTTGAGCCATCCTGCTAGTACAAAACAATGTGATCTTGGTTGCAGTCTAGGATCTACTTTTGAAAATGTTTGTCTTCTCAAACTAAAAAACTTGTAAAAACCTACTTTTTCAGATACTCGGTCTTCCATTTTACCCTGCACAGCCACCAGACAGGCAGCTGTCGCCGCTTAGGTTCTACATCCTAGGTGCACGTAATAGAACAGTGTGATAGTGCAGTCTATAAACTTTCTGAATAGAAACATTACACATAGAAACACAGTGTTTAAATTGGAAGCTACTTCCACAACTTGCTACAGGAGGAGGGGGTAGAATCTCACACTTTGTGGGCGGTGGTCTGTTCTGACAGCCTGTGCCTCAGTTAGGTGATGTGGTTAGATTAGGGGACTTGAAACAATTAAAATTACTTTCCCCCCCCCAATAAAGATAAAATGATATGTATACTGTTCTGGCATCCAAACTAGAGATCTGCCTGCCTCTGCCTTCCAAGTGCTAGAATTAAAGGTGTGTGGGTCTCTATGCCCAAACCTTGATTCACTTGAAAAATTAGGTGCATAACCAAGAACTTTTTATTTTTATTTTCTTTAGTGTGTGAGAGAGAGAGACAGACAGACTGACTCAGTTCTCCCCTTCTATCTTTACATGGCTTGTAGGGATTTCTGAGTTGACCATTGTCTTTTTTATTATTACTTACTAATTTATTTTTTTTTTTTACAATCCAATACCAGTCCCTCCCCCCCCCAAACTGCTCTTTGGAGAGGGTAAGTCCTCCCCTTGGAAGTCTACTAAGTCTGTCCCATCATCTAGTTGAGCAGGACTGAGGCATCTCTCCACCCCACACCCTTGTGTCCAGCCTGGGCAAGGTATCTCTCTATACAATGGGCTCCACTAAGTCAGTTTGTGCATTAGTGTCAGATCTTGGACCCACTACCAGTGGCCTCACATATTGTCTCAGTCACACCATTGTCACTTACATTACGGGAGTCTAGTTCGGTCTTATGCAGGTTCCCCATTTGCCAGACCTGAGTCAGTGACCTCTCACTAGCTTGGGGTTGGCCATTGTCTTAGGTAGGGTTTTTATTGCTGTGAAGAGACAGTGTTTAATGGGGGTGGTGGCTCACTTACAGTTTCAGAGGTCCAGTTCATTGTCATCATGACAGGGAGCATGGAGGCCTGCAGGCAGATTGGGTGCTGGACCTGAGAATCCTCACACACACTTCTTCCAACAAAGCCACATCTTCCAATAGTGCCACTCTGTACGAGCGTATGGGGCCAGTTACATTCTAATTACCACAGCCATCTTATGCTTTAAGCAAAAAGTCTTCAGTGCTTTTCCACAGAGTTAGTGCTTTGGACTCTTGTTCTCGGATTATTTTGGTGCTCTTTGAGGAACCAGCGTGTTTGTATTTGTTTGCTTTGTTTTCTAGTTCGTTAATTGTAAGCGTGGCATAGGTAAATTAGTGGTCTAGAGCATGTTTCTGTTTGTCTGTCTCCACTCGTCACCTACCAGGTGCTGAGACGACCACTCTGAAGCCCTTAGACCCTCTCCCTCTGCAGCCACTTTATTCTCTTCTGTGACAAAAGGTTTGTATTTAAATGTGTGGATGTGTGCACGTGCCCGAAAAAGGCCAGGTGTCACCGACCCACCAACCTTTTTCCCTTTATTGCCTTAAATTTTTTGTTGTCTTAGGTATTGGATCAGCAAAATAATGGAGTTGGGGGAAATATTGGAGCCATTTATTTATTTTTCATGGAGAGTTGGATTGACTGGAAATTGGTTGTTTTTTGTTTTGTTCTTTTCAGAGGCAGGATCTCAGTGTGTAGTTCTGGCTGACCTGGTACTAAGTAGACTGGGCTAGGCTTGAACTCACAGAGATCACCGTCTGGGATTAAAGGTGTGTGCTGACACACTGGATTCTAGAGCCTCTCCTAGTTCTGGTTGTTAAAGTGTGAATTTATTCCCCAAATCCTGGGAAGTAGACAAAGCAGTCCCTACTCCGCCTCTCTGAAGGTAAAGCAGGTTACTAAGACACCCACTGTAGTCAGAGTTTCTTTCCCACCTTTTCCCAAACCATTCAGCTCCAAATAAACACACAGAGACTCACATTGTTTATAAACTGTTTGGCGGATGGCTCAGGCTTCTTACTGGCTAGCTCTCTCTTAATTACTAACCCATAACCCATAGTCTATGTATTCTACTTGGCCTTATCTTACTGCAGAAGGCTCCAGCATGTTACTCCTTCAGCGGCTACATGTTGTCTCTCGTGACCTCTCTCTGCGTCCTCTCCCAGAATTCTCTTCTCCTGGCCCCATCTGTGCTTCCTGCCTGGCTACTGGCCAGTCAGTGTTTTATTCATCAACCAGTAAGAGAAACAGGTATACAGAAGGACATCCCCATCACCCTGTATTACAGAATCCAGGTTGTCTTTGGCAGGGCTGTTAGGGTGTGTGTGTGTGTGTGTGTGTGTATCTGTGAGTGTGTGCTCATGTGTATTCTTACATGTATGGAGCCAGAGTTGACGTTGGGTGTCTTCTCCGTTGCTTCTCTCTGAGCCCTGGTCTTCTATTGGCTGGACTGGCGAAGCGGTCCATCCCCTCCCCCAAGTGCAGAGGTCAGACCCTCACGCTAGTGTGTCATCTCCCTGTCCCCACAGCTGCTAGTGTGTCATCTCCCTGCCCCCACAGCTGGGGTTTGTACACACACAGACCTGGCTTTTCTGTGAAGGAGACATCTTGATCTTTAAATTTAGTAGAAACTAGGCACTTTGTAGAGCAGCAGTTGGAGAACGGTGACCTCAGTAAGTACAGTTTAAATTAAATAAATAATGTACAGCTCAACATGCTCCTAGGAGAGAGACCGTGTGAAGTGCAAGCCTTTGCGGGCAGAGGAAGAAGGCAGCCCTTGTCACTGTCAGGTTGCTGGGGAAAAAAGATTGTTGGTGCCGCCTCAAGCCAGAGCACTAGAGTGAGCAGTAAGGAGGCTGTGCGCTATCAGTTTGTGAGGAGGCTGTGCCCTGTCTGTCAGGTTGTGAGGAGGCTGTGCCCTGTCAGGTTGTGAGGAGGCTGTGCCCTGTCAGGTTGTGAGGAGGCTGTGCCCTGTCTGTCAGGTTGTGAGGAGGCTGTGCCCTGTCAGGTTGTGAGGAGGCTGTGCGCTATCAGGTTGTGAGGAGGCTGTGCCCTGTCAGGTTGTGAGGAGGCTGTGCCCTGTCAGGTTGTGAGGAGGCTGTGCCCTATCAGTTTCTCCTAAGATTTGGAGAAAAAACTCACCGAGTGCATTAGTGTTGGGAAGTGTACAGGAACAGCTCAGAGGTAGAGAGCTGGTAACACATACCAAAAAGGGCAGACGTTTATGCACAGGGCTGGGAAGGTGGAGCAAGCCCGAGTCTGAGAACTCAGTCATCCTCTATATGAGGCTTAGGGAATACAATTTGAGCCAGGTTTAGGCTGCATGGCCTTGACCTCGCACTGCCAAGGAGAAGAGGAACTGGCCTAAGAGAACTTGTGTGTCTGTACCTGCATTAACGGCTGTGCTAGTGACAGGTGCCGTGCCTTTCCTGAGCTGGAACTCTTCCTGACTCCCAGAGGTTGAAGCACTTTCTAGCTACAGTCTCGAGCCTTTTATAGTTTTCCTTGTTTACCAGACTCAGAAAAGAAAGTCACTAAAGAAATGTAAATTATATGAAGCTTGAAAGACATTAAAAGGTGATTTGATAATGCAAATTAGAATAGAAAATAAATTAGGTACAAGACTTTGGACTCACCAAGACAGAATACGTAATGAATTATTTACTGTGAAATTATCAATTGCAAATGGACTAGACATTGTTGATGAACTTGTTGGCCTGTATATATTGTATGAACTTACTGTACTTACTGTATATAGTTTTTCTTATGTTAGTTGTAGGCTTCTTTTTGTATTAGACAAAAAGGGGGAATTGTGATATTATTTATGATGGAAAGAGTTTCTCTGTGTAGCTTTGTAGACCAGGTTGGCCTCGAACTCACAGAGATCTGCCTGCCTCTCAAAGTGCTGGGATTAAAGGTGTGTGCCTTTATTTCAGCTGCTTATGAGTGGCCTTCTCCTTTCATTTTGTAACAATTGTGTGCTTTTTACTGCTTTCATTGTTGTGATAAAACGCATGCCAAAAGCCATTTGAGGGAGGACAGTATGTTTAAGGCTACACTGCTGCATTTTGGCAGGGTGGTTGCTGTCCAGGAGCTTGAGGCAGCCCATCACATTTCTCAGGAAGCAGAGACTTAGTGATGCTCAGTTCCTTTTCTCCTTCAGCTTTGGCTTTAGCGTATATGTTTTAAATAGGACACTTGGCTTTTTGTGCTTTACTCTTGAAAAAGAATTTGAGTCCTAAAAGCCTGTTGTAAATTGTTATTTTTAGCTAATCACGAGTTTTAGTTGCAATTCCCACCTAGGTGATTTAGTCACTGCTTTTTTTTATTTTTTAACTAGAAGTGACACTAGGAGACAGTGGTTTCTTGTCTCTTAAGAATCCAGCTGTAACCGTGTTCACATTGCATACTCACACATTTCAGCGATGGCCGCGCCAGGGGATGAGGACTGCCCCTGGGGTTGGCAGTGTGGTGGGGTGCCTCCTTTGCTGACAAGGGGAGCCATGCTGACAGTCTCACCTTCACTTTCTCAGTCACATCGACCAGACAACAACATGGCAGGATCCCAGGAAGGCCATGCTCTCCCAGCTGAACGTGCCTACGCCTGCCGGCACAGCGGTGCCCCAGACCCTGATGAACTCCGCCTCAGGTGAGTACCACCCCCTTGTAGAGTCACAGCCACGCTATTTGGATACTGTTTTCTTTTAGGGGACACTAGAAAGTTTCTTACCTAGTGCCATTTTGAGACATTGTATTTCAAAGTAGCAGGTGGCATGTGACAAAAAGGAGTTTTTGTAAATCTCAGGTTTCCTTTAGGTTCTAAGTTGTCTGGGGTTTCTACTTCTAGTTTTTAACATCATGTTTGTGTCTTTAGAGTATGTGGGTGCTGTGTGTGCTTGGGTACACAATGACATATGAGAATAACTTTAGGGAGTCTGTTTTCTCATGCAGATGTAAGGATGAAACTCAGGTCATTAGGTATGGCATCAAGCACCTTTACCCACAGAACCATCTCACCATCGAACCCCACCCCACCCCCCGACATTGCTGAGATGGTTTTAGTAGTGATGGCTGCCCTGGAACCCCTGATCTTCCGCCTCTGTCCCCCAAGGGTGGGGTTTCTGGTTGCACCACCATGTATGTTTGGGTTCGATCGCCATCTTGCATCTGGGGTCTGAGTTGCTACTCCACTTATCTTTTGTAACGTGGTGAAAACGCATTGTTTTATTTTTAATTGACCTAAGGGAAAAAAGACACTGCTGTGTTGCATGACTACCTCGGGGATTCTGAACTCCATGCCATGGTGTTCATGACCCCCTTTTGTTTGTTTTTGAGACAAGATCTTCCCAAACTGGCCTCAGACTTGTAATCTCCTTGCCTCTGCCACTTGTTTTGAAGCAGATATTTATGTTACCTTGACAAGACCCAGAGCCACCCCTCTTACTCTTAGATCTAGCTTCTTTAATCCCAGCACCTGGGAGACAGAGGCAGATGGGAGCTCTGAGTTTGAGGCCAGCCTGGCCTAGGATAGCTACAGCTACATTGTGAAACACTTGTCTCAAAAAACAAACCAAAACCAAAAAATAAAACTGCCTTCTTCATGAAGGCTGAGCTTGCAGATTGAATTAATTTGGCAATTTATGTGTCTGTAGTTTTTCTTGAATAATAAGGAGCAGGAGTAGCAAACACTGCTTGATAAAAGACAAGATTTTTAAAGGAAATTGAGCCATACATTTAAAGCCCTTATTTGTTTTAAATTTCTTTTATGTGTATGAGATTTTTCAATTTTGCTTTTAATTTTTTTAATTTGAATTAAGCTTTGCCTGCTCGTATGTGTGGTGCACCATGTATGTACCTGGTGCCCATGGAGGGCAGGGCAGAACTCAGATGCCGCGGAACTGGCGTTACAGGTAGTTATGAACCATGAGTGACTTCTGGGGACCCAACCTGGGTCCTTGCTGAGCAGCCAGGGCTCTTAACCTGTGAACGCCCTGGCTTTTGGCTTCCAGGACAAGGGTAGCAAAGGCTGTTTCTTCACCTCCTTCGTCATACACCCTCACACCTTTGCCTTCATTAGGTGGGCCCAAGGCCTCATGAGCACTTTCCTCTGGGCTAGGTCTCTGATGACCCCCTGCCCCTTTGCAGTCTTGTTAGATGCCTAGTGGCACACCTTGGTGATGGCAAACACCAGCGGCAAATCTTGCTGTGCTACTGGCTTTCTTCAATCCAGAAGGTTCTCTACCTTTCCTGTTGAGAAAATTGGCAGTGGCCTAACTAAAGCTTCTGACACTGGGTGGCCAAGAGCCTTGGTGGCAGACTTGACTGGGAAGTTTACAGACATGAGACTCCTGCCCTCCACGCCAAGGTGTGAGGCAGCTTCTCCACGTGACTCTTGCTTTGGGTGAGTTGAAAATGAAGTGAGGGCAGAATCTAGGGGTGAGGCATTCTAATTATAGAATTACATCCCTTGGTATTCATTGAGGGACCATATCAAGAATATACTTGGGTGTTCTCTATCGAGGTAAATAAGGATCAGGATAAACAAATAGGCCGAATAGATGTTTATTCAGGGAGAAATAACTTACAACCTAGACAGATGAACACCAGGAAATTCAACCCGATCCTCTCCTGTCTGAGTCACGCAAGAAAGAGAGAGCCTTTCCTGGCCCCCTCCGACCTCTTTCCACAGGTCACTTCCGCCCATGGCTCCACCCCCCAATGGTCGTGGTCAGTGCTACAGAAGGACTATCTCACTACAGTTCTCAGAATATGAATTTTATATGTGATATTTGAGCTAAATTATAAAATTTGAACGGTGAAAATGATACAGATATGCTTTACTGGTAGTATTACTTTGGCGCCTATTTTTTTAATCATGAGATTCCAAATGGAAGTTGTAAAGCTAAGTAAGTAGTCACACTCTAGCTATAGGTCTGCTTTAGTAGTCAGTAACAAAGGCCAGGTGATGGTGGCGCCCACCTTTAATCCCAGCACTCTGGAGGCAGAGGCTCCAGATCCAGGTGAATCTCTATGTGTTCGAGGCCAGCCTGGTCTACAAAGCGAGTTCCAGGACAAGCTCCAAAACTACAAACCCTGTCTCAAAAAAAGAAGTCAGTAACAGAGACACTCTTCCTTTGGAATATAGGCACCCTAATCATAACTGGGTTAACTAGGTTTCTTTTACTAGAACATTGTTTAATCATATTAGATTTTTCTTTGTTTGTTTCTTTTCTTTTGGTTTGTTTTTTGAAGACAGGGTTTCTCTGTGTAGTTCTGGCTGTCCTGGTACTCACTCTGTAGACCAAACTGACCTGGAACTCAAACAATTACCCTGCTCTGCATCCCGAGTACTGGATTTAAAGATGTGTGTCAGTGTACCCGGTGATTTTTCTCTTAAATATTTTTAAGGTTACACTTTATTAGTTTTTGTGTGTGGGAGTAAGGACTTGAACATGTCAGAAGACAGCATTTGGGGTTTGATTCTCTTCTATATGGGCCCCGGGAATGGAACTCCATGTCAGACTAGAAGGGCTTTACCTGCTGAGCCATCTGTATCTTCTCTATCTAACCTTGTGTTTATAGTTTGAGTATTAAAAAGAGAGTATTTGGCCTGCTGGTGATGGCATGTGCCTGTAATCTCAGCACTCAAGACAGTTCGAGGCCAGACTGGTCTACAAAGCGGGTTCCAGCACAGTCTCCAAAGCTACAGAGAAATTTGAACTCAATTACCTTTAAATTTGGAGGTATTTTATTAGTTTTTAAAGTGATAGAAGCCAGATTCAGAATTTGCTAGTGAGCTTTAAGACACCCTCCCCCACCCCCGCTAATCCCTAAACTGTGTGGTAAGTGGGGAGGAAACAGAGGACAGGGTGGTGGCTTTTTTAGTGAATACATGGTCCTTTAGGGGGACTTTGAGGTCAGACAGTCCAAAGACCTTAAAAAGTCACCAAATATTGCAGAATGAATCTGTGATGACCCAGCAAAGCAGAGCTGAACAAGCTGCCACGCCTTCCGTCCAGGCTAGGCTACTTTGAGACCTGGTGTTCCCATACACAGGGTACCCAGTCCAAGATGCTCAGGTCCTTTACAAATGTAGTGTTTGCGAGTAACGTGGGCACATCTTCCTGGGTGCTTTAAATGGTCTTTATCATGTGTGTGTGTGACTTAACCATGTAGACAGTTGTTATGCTGGCTGATTTCTGACATAATAAGAAAAAGTCTACATTTTAATAAACAGTTTTAACTTTTCACCCATGTGGAGTGATGCATATAAAACTCAGGGATTGTGGGCTACTGTGCATCTCCTGACTGACACAGATTCCAGCCAGGGACCAGGCTCCTTCATCTACTAAAGGCTGAGGATATTGGTGATGTGTGTGGTCTGGCTTTTACTCTAGGAATCTTCTTACCTCCCAAAAGAGAATTGAACTCAGGGCCCTACTTAGGTGAGGCGAAGGACCTTCCACTGAATTCTCTCTCTCTCTCTCTCTCTCTCTCTCTCTCTCTCTCTCTCTCTCTCTCTCTCTCTCCCTCCCTCCTCTCTCTCCCTCTCTCTCTCCCTCTCTCTCTCTCCCTCTCCCTACCTCCCTCTCTCTCTCCCTCTCCCTCTCCCTCTCCCTCTCCCTACCTCTCTCTCTCTCTCTCCCTCCCTCCCTCTCTTTCCCTCTCTCTCTCCCTCTCTCCCTCTCTCTCTCTCCCTCTCCCTACCTCCCTCTCTCTCTCTCTCTCCTTCTCTCTCCCTCCCTCCAGTCTTGGGGACCTGGATATCAAACCCAGGTGCCTACGCTAAGCCCTCCTTATGCCAGAGCTGCACCTCCAGCCCCAGGGAAACCCTAATCAGCAGACCTTGTACCCACATAAAATGCTAAGCATAATGTGGTGTTGATACGTCTATCTCTGGGAAGCAGCTCTGTGCCTGGGGTGTATGGGAGTTTGGAGGGAGGGGGTAGGGATATAATTATATTATCTCAAAAAGAAGAGATGTGAAAAACGGTTAATTTAAACATAAAGTAAATGTAATCCGATATTTTGTAATTAAACTATTTATAATTATTGGTAGCTGGTGTTACTTCATTTAAAGTAATTTAAAACATCTGTCTACCATCCCATCTTCAGGCTGTGTTTATCTTTGAAGCTCTGATCAAATATAGACCTTTCTAACTAACTTTCAGACTCAGGAAATGTGTCTGATGTGGGCAGTAGAGTGTTACATATACAGATTTCTGGTTTTTTCCCCTTGATTATTTTAAGAGGAGATTTGTCAATAATACTGTACTAATGCACACAGTCCTGTACTACTAAGATGTTATTAACAAAAACTCAGACAGGAGTAATATTGTAATGAGGCCCTCAGTCAGGGCAAGCGAGAACCAGTTTGTCTTGTTAGTGATCTTGACTTCTGTGTTTTCAAACAAAATGGCTGTTTTCTTCCCTACAAGGCAATTCAGGTAATCTGAGAAATGACAGACAGGCTGAGATGGAAAATGGCTGTGAGGGTAGCGTGTTTGCAAGAGAAGGAGGGGGAGGGAGAAGCATGACCCCAAGGAATTAAATAAGCATGAACATGGAAATCTACAACCCTTAGAAGTATGGAAATCTACAACCCTTAGAAGTAGGCTTCAGCTTTTGGTGGCAGGAATATCAGGAGTT